CATTGCAATCCATTCGTTTCTTCATAATCATCTGTTTTCATCCTAGACTGAGCCGTGCAAATAGATCACATCGTGGAAAGACTTGAAGTGTAAGTTACCACTTGTTTCATCAGAAGTCAGAATGACTTGATTGTCTTAAGGGTCTTCCAGACCGTTTGATGGAAGAAGTGATGGAAGAAGTAGGCCGTAGTCGATTCTGACATTTCTTGTTTTTTGCTTATATAATCAAGACCAGTATTAAAAAACACCACGCGTACGTTCGTGTTGCTCCACCTATTCATACTTCTTGTTTGATGCAATGTTACTCTTTTCACCTTCCATCAGTGACAAAGAGACCAAGAACAATGACGGATCCAAATTCAAACATGACTGCTGCAGAGGCTAGAAGTGCAGCTTTACAACTCTCGAATGAAAGGAGAGCAATCGATGAAGAATTGTCAAGCCTTACTAACGTTTTACGATCACAAAATGCTACGATGAATTCAGCTTTGATTGATAATCAAGGTTTTCCAATTGCTTCGATTGATATCGTTGCTGTTCGAACGGCAAGGGCAAGAATAATAGCTCTACGTAATGATCGAGAAAGTATTGAAAACAGAATGCGAAATTTGCTGGACTTGGCTCTTTCTCGAACAGACTCCGGTACAGAAGCACCTATGACGAACGGATTCGTAGAACGTAATCAAGAAACAGCACAAGCAATGGCAAACGTACCAGGTACAAACGGTGCTCTCAGTATGAGCGTTCCAATACGGCAAGACGGCGATGCAGCAGTATGGTCAGAAGTTGGCGGCTTAACCCCTTTTGCAAAAGTCAATGCAATCAGTCCAAACAGTCCGGCACAACGAGCAGATATGCGTGTAGGAGATGAAATCTTACGGTTTGCAAGCCTAACCGCTGCTAATGCACATCGTTCTACGACAAATAAAGACTTGGGAAATCTGCCAAGTGTAGTTCAAAGAGGGACAGAGATCGCAGTGATGGTTTTACGGGGCGGGGACGATGGGAATGATCGAGAAATCAAAAGATTACGTCTAACTCCTAATGACGGATGGGGTGGTAGAGGTTTGCTAGGCTGTCATCTATTACCAATCTAAGACTCCAAAGTGTATTTGTAGAAATCTTCACGCCATGCTAATGTGTATCAATAATATTGCAAAGATGACTAAGAGCATATATAGGTTACTGTGGTGCTTTCCTATGCAGTTTGCGTTCCAAAGGTTGCTGCCATGTTGTCTTGTGTACAAATCGTTCGTAATGCTACAGCATGAGAGTCATTTCATTACTCAGCAGTATGTTTGCCTGCTCACACGATGATAGTCGAGTAATTGATCTGCGCTGCTATACACAACCTGTAGCGGTTGTGCAAGTTCGGCGACACTTGTCACCTCTTCTTCATATCCACCAACTTCTGTTCCAGCCGCTACGTTCAACATTATCTCTTCCTCTTCTTCATCCCGCTCGCCGCATTCATCTTCACTCATCTCATCTTCCGCATTGCTCTTCAAGGGCATTCCAACTTGACCACCTTTTTGAATGTGATTTAAGAATTTTGAAATGCGAAGGTGAAACGTTTCCAAACGTGATGCTTGGCCGCCATAACGCAACTCCAATACTTCCCAACCAAATGGTTCATACGTCGCCATCCACATTTGTCGATGGTAACTTATCAATTGTCGCAGATGTTCTCTTAATTTTGAAAGTCGACTGTCCGGTTCCGGCCCTGCCAATTGATACAATTCTGACCAATTCATATTGATGTATGCCAAATGCATACGATAACGCAAACCGCTTTTGTATGATAACGTTTTGGCAATCAAATAAGCGAATCGAAGCCTAGCATTCAATGGGTAATCACCTATTGAAGATTGAAGTGAAGAAGCGTTTGCTCTTGTTGACTTCTGCTGTACCGTGGCCCTCAATCTACCGTCCAAATAAGTCGCCAAAGATGTGTAGTGATGCTCCAAATCCAATCCACTTGCTTGCATACTGGGCGATACAAATCCATATGCAGGTTCTTCCCACATGAGCCATTTGGACGTATTTGGTGCAAAATGAATTCCATCGTCTACTGTTTGTTTTTCTGGCGAAGGATCGTCCAAGCGAGAAGCCATAACGAAATCGTCAAAGACTCCCGCACATATACCATCAAAAGATGCTCGCAGACGGATCAAATCCACTTCTTGTCCCTTTTCATATCCATGTTCGGCATAGTAAGACCAAGCAGGTAAGGAAGAAAGAATATCCACTTCATTGCCCTCATCACCCCAAATTGTCAGAAATACATGTTTCACTCCGCTATTGCGTTGCTTGCAAGCATTCATGCTGGCCTTGTTCGTCGCAAATGTGAAGGGTAAAGCAGTCCAAAATCGACTCCAAGTCCAACTTCCACCCGCCATCCATGGATTCTTTCTGCTGAGTAGACGATGGCTTTGAATGCGGCTGGTATAGCTTTGTTGAGAGGTGTGATAGTAATCCCAATAAACGAGTTCAATGTTACTGGGAATACCTTCGACAGATGCTGTGGGCTGTTGAGAATCGTAATAACCCAGTAAAGAATTGTTCTTTGCATTGAGGCAGAATAACATATCACTCCAGATGCAAGGTTGTAAGCCCATCTCGACGCAGATTGCATTGACCCGAGATAAATGATCGATGAAGATTCTTGTTGGGTCCTTATAGTTGTACTGTCCAAAGATAGAATGGTAGCGTCCATGCCCCAAACCATGGGTTTCATCCATACCCAAATGAATCTTCTTTGTTCTAAAAGGTTTGGTGGCTGCTTGAATCATCTTGCGAATCATTATGTACGTCTCTTGAGCATCAGCAAGTAAGACTTCCGATGTATCGCGAAGGTGCAAAAATCGAGGCCATTGAAGCATTTGACCCAAGTGACCTAAAGTCTGAATGCACGGAATCACTTCGATACCCAAATCAAATGCGTAATCATCAATCTCCTTGAGCGCCTTTTCAGAGTATCCTCCTCTCAAATAGCCAAAGAATGGTTCGCCTTCAATCTTGTAAGTATCTTCTGTATAGAGTTGAAGCATGTTGTATCCCATCAATGACAGCTTTTTCAGAAGAAATTTGACTGTTTTGACTAGTAGAACACCATTACGACTACAATCGATCATAGTTCCCAGCGTCTCAAAATTTGCAGACTCTTTGATCGGAAGTCGATCCATCATTATTTGCTCGTCACGTTTACTGATCGAATGAATGTCATCTTCTTGCTCTTCTGCGATCGAGTCAGAAGTTGTGCTCACCAGAGGGCTTCTCAACACAGCTAGGACGTGACCAAGACCTCTAAACGCTTCGCATGGACGAACGTAGCGGATCGTGACATTGAAAGGTTTGTTTGGTTCATCGCTGAAGCTATTAGAGGAGGCTTGAATGTGCAATGAACCGGAAGATAGTGTTGCATCTTCGATAAAGCTACAAAGCGGATACAGATTAAAATTAGCCACATGTGTGCAACCGGTAATCGTTACATACTCACCGGATATTCCACCACCACACCGGATTGCCATCTTGCCTCCTATCCAGCGCTGGAGCTACTTCAGATTCCTCATTTGTCAAAAATATGTTCTTACGGGGTGCATGCTTGGTTAGCTCTTCGATTCCGTTTTGAATTCTTGCAGGAATGCTTGATCGAGCAATGCGGATGTGAATCGGACCTGCCGGAGAATCGTTTGATTGAGAGTTGTTATTTCCACGAAATCTTTGAAGAGATTCTTTTTCGTTAGCCGCGACCACACTTACCCGACGAGGAGGAGCATAATGAGCAGCGGCTATCGTTGCAGATTGATTATCTTGTAAAGAAGGCAAAGGCGGAACGGTGTTGAGAACGTCTTCTTGATGATTGTTTACAGGAGAGGATTCCATTCTTTGACTGTAATGAAACAGATGTATTTATTGCATCTGATTTGATTGGATCATTAGATTTGGGATATGACCACGAGCAATCATTTGAATTCGTCTGAACGGGTAAAGATGATGGTGAGAAGACATCTTTCATTCTCAATTTACACTTGTCTTTTGCCTTTCCGACAAACCAACACTTGGGCCGGGCTGGCTTCCTTTGATTCTGGTGGAGGAGGCGCGTCAGGCCCGTGCGATCAAAAGAGAAAGACGCCGAATGAAAGCCTGATGAGTAAATGCTTGTCGGGCGGGGTAAGGAAAGTGTTGTTTAATCATCATCTTGAAAAAAGGATGAGTAGATCAAATTCAGTCACAACGTATATAAGACAAAAGCCACTCTTTGAACAAAATGATGATGATGACAATGTTCAATTTCAACGCAAGTATGGAGTCTCCTCTCTTTCCAAATCATTGCAATTGTTAGGCATCAAGCCCAATGCGAGTCGAACAAAGGCACTCTTACGTTTAACTGGAGATTGGGAAGGTAGAGATGCTTTATTGGTGAGTGATGAACGACTGTGTGATCAGAACAATTGAATTGACTCTCCTGAACTTTCAGCAATTTGCTCAATCCCTCTCACTTCTTTGCTATTCCATGGCACCCATAAGGAGAAAACAATTACACATAGCTTCAGAGAGCTTTGCGAATGCAAGAAGGATATTCATCCTCGGAAGGTGGCTCAATGACGGTGCTGAAACGTTGAGAGAGTCATGGGCAGCCACATCCAACAAAAGCAAGGATGATGGACCTGATTCTTCGTCTTCAGACACTTCCAGTGACGAACAGGAAGGAAATCTAGAATTGGAATCAATTCGATTTGGGGGTACAGAAGAAGATGTTCTTGGTAATGCACAGAAACAAATTGGCGAATCAATCAATTCCCCTTCTGGTAATAATGCCCGGATACAATCATCAGCTGCCAAACAGTGGCAGAAGCAATGGCGGAAACGGGTAGGACTGATTTCGGAATATCTAACGATGCTTGGGGATGGATGTGAAGTTGTGGCATTACTTGGTGGATCGAGCGTATTATGGAGAATCATAGGAGGTAGATTAGCAGCCCGTCAAAGGCATGGATTAGAAAGAATAGCCCAATTTATCTTCTTTTTCGCTTTTACACTCGGTCTACGACATATCGAACTGTTAAGACAAGAAAGGATACGAAAGCTTCGAAAAGCAAATAAGAAACTTCTGCGTGCGTCCGATCGTGTTTCCGCAGAAGCTGATGCTAGCACTCTGCTCCAAGCACGTCCATTGAGTGTTACGGAAGCACTCTCTTCGCATTCTGATGATCCCTCCAAAGATGAACAAAGAGTCAGGTCGGCCAATGCAGGAGAATCGAGGCTTCGCAAAGCTGAATACAAATTGTTAATGCAACGTAAGAAGATACAATTATTAAGACTAGAACGTACCTCGCTTCGTGCCGAGCTACTCTTCACCATTGCTGAAATTCTGTGGCCACACCATGATCATACCCGATTGGAAGGCTGGACGACGTTCGTTGCTTCTATCTGTCATATGTCACGTTTAACAAAAGAAGCTCGTTGGCACTGAGATCGAATGCAATTGTACTTTTATACCAACAACAGTATTGTCCAAACGTCTATTTATTTGAGTGATCTTAATCTGTGTATTCCGTCCAAGTCTAAGCGTTCTTGTGTCCATTCTTTCATCGGAATTGCACCCAAGACTTCTTCATAAAATGCAATACTTGGCGCATTCCAATTCAAGACTGACCAATCCATTCGTTGACAATCATTTTCTTCTGCTACTTTTCCCAACGCTCTAAAGAGTGCCTTTCCTGCTCCTCTGTTACGGACCGAAGGATCAACATAAAGATCTTCTAAGTACAAAGATGGTTTACCCGTCCAAGTAGAAAAGCTGAAAAAGTACAATGCCATACCGATGGGCGTGTTTGCGTTGGTAATATCTTCGCAAATCAATGCATGCGCATACTTTTTCTTGAATACATTCTCAATCAGAAGTTCTGGAGTTGCTTTCGCCTCTTCTTCTGCTTTTTCGTAAATGGCAAGATCTTTAATCTGAGAGAGAAAGAAGAGCGATCAAAGTTAGTTGTTGAATCTGTCCAAATTTGATGTGTTTCTCTGATCACCTACGAATCGCAAAATCGTTGGGATGTCGGCTTCAGTAGCCTCTCTGACGTTCACCGGGAACTCTGGCTTCTGTGCAGCAGACATGATTGCAATATCGTGGTTTGAAAGTGTATGATCGTGGAGGACAAGCAAGAAGTTGAATCTTCTCAAAAGCGTGCATGTAGTGTACGCTAACTCAAGGCTGAGGTGTAAATGCAGGTCCACTATGGTATTCTTTTCTGGAAGGACTTCGAAGTTCGTCACTTCCAAACGATGATATCTTACAGTTTCTATTAAATTCAATCAAGCCGTCTTCCTTTCTCTTGCATCTTTCTACTAGAAGATGTTGTGTCTGAATCGATGCTTACTTGATTATCGTTCACGAAGATCGAAAATGTAGAAGAGGGCATGTTGCCTGTGTTGGTTGAATCAGTCGACAGTTCATGAACATCATCTTCCTTTTTCGCATCTTTGGCTGATGAAGCATTCCAAATGGTAGCATTTTGCTTTCTTGGGCCCAAAAGAGATGTTGTTTTGTTCCCTTCTAATCTCCAATAATATACGTATTGAATCGCAATCACCGTATTCAAAATGCTGGCCAAACCAAATCCAATTCCCAATAACCAATCGCCTGTTTCAGTGATTGTAGTGAAAACCCGAGCAAGAGTGCCAGCCAATTGTGCAAAAACAACAATGCTACTCAGATGACCACACTTTTTGTTTCTATAAAGTTCACCAATCTGGGGAAATTTGCTCAACAACGAAATCGGAATAGAAAAAGCTTGCAAGACGGAGAGCAAGTTCGGAGGGCAGAGTAAAAAGAGGAAAATGCTCGAAACAAGCATTAGTAAAGCGGCTAATATCACCCTTCTCATCACCATCGGTTCGCTTTCATCCGATGAAGAATCACGTTGAGCACTCCGGCGAACAGAAGAGCTGATCAATAATCCACCTTTTCGTCTTTGCCCTTTCTCCTCTGTGCCATACCAGATGATCAATAGCGTGATCACCATATTTTGTACGGTCAAGCTTGCATTTTCACCATATGTACTGAACGGTAATCGCTTCCTAAATGCATATGCAAGGCTAATGTCATATGCCACCACTTCCAAGCTGTACATCGAAAGTGAAATACCCCAAGCTGAAGAATGTTGAACGATTGTAATGATTTGAGGAAGTTTGAGTATACTGCCAAATACGATGATCCCAATTCCCAAGCCTTTCGATACAGCAAGCCGTAAGCAGAAAGTCGTTGGGGCGACATTGTAGATCAAAGAAGTATAACAATCTTCTCCCAAAATTAGTCGACCTGGCGTGGCAATGAATGAAGGCAAATTCTGCGTCACCGTCTGCAGCATAGCCTGAAGTGCTTCTGCCATGATGGTGAGTGTCGTTCTACCGCTGTATGAGGGTATTCGGATTCATGACTTGTGGGGATGATGGGTGTGAAAGTGGTAATCTATCTGTACTTGGTAACATGCATTAAATATCAAAGCTTTCCTATAATCCATTTAAGATCAACACTTCCCGCTTTTCCCGCTTAACATTATTAAACGCGTTAAAGTATCTAAGTAAGCGCGTAATCTCAAGAAGTCACAACGGAATAATTGATAACTTGCACCTTTAAAGCTTTCCACGATGTGGTGGTCAAACTGCAAAGCTCCCACTACAAGGAGAGGGAATGATGCATGCAGAAAGGGCGACATCAGATCAGCTTCGGGCGCTGTTGATTCTGTTTGATGTGTTGTGCGATGGAAATCAGAGGCAGATGATGTCTTGCACTTGATCCCAAAGCAAAATGATACTCGATGCAAAGTGCACCTGTAATATATCCAAAAAATATGATCTATTGCTGTTCAACAATCCTATCTATTCGTCTTTCTCTACAATTTGAAGCCTGTTATTGATCAGCAAAAGAATCATGTCAGTGAATTGTACCTGATTGAACGCATACAGCCTTCTCAACTCACTCTATGATGTAGAATACCTTTCCTGTTTGACCGTTCTTGCAGTAATATCGGACCGGCTGTCCATCCCAGTACTTTTGCAAATCGAATCCCATTCCGCCTGTATAAGGTAGGACGACTCGTAAAGTATTGAAATCAATGAATCCATTATCGAATGCTAATGTGACGATATCATTCGGTGTAATCTGACCTGCTTGACGAACGGATTGATTACCCCAAAGGCGAGCACGATGGGTGTGACCAGAAGTGGCATCCTTGAGTTGCGATAAAGTATGCGAGTCCGCAAATCCGTTCTTTTCAACTTCATCTAGTAATTCTCCCTTTTCGTTCTTGCATAAAAGTGCAGACGTATCTTCCTGAACGTAATCCTCTTCTGAACGACCGGCGGGGAATGGAGGCCAATCCTTGAAATCTTCAGCCGGTTCTTCTTCTTTTCGTTGAACGTTGACTCTTGTCATGCTGGTAAGTAGGGGTCCAAACGCCCAAGGCTGATCTGCGTACAAATCATGTTGTAAATTTGGATCAATGATGCCGATCGCACGCAAAGCAACTGAAGTGCCCCAAGGAAGTCGATCACGAATCGGTTTATCGAATTGATTTCCATACATCAGGTCGTCAACAGAAATCTTTTCTTTGAATCTACCTTGAACTTGAATGGACCAAGTGCATCCTTTAGCATACGAATGATCAAAATAATGCGTTCCTACTTCTGATGCTGCTTCATGTTCTTCATTCGTTCCAGGTAGAATGCCAGTAAAACCTTGAATTCGCACAATTACTCGACCCTCGAAATCGTCCGTTTTAATGGTTAACGGGTGATCTTCATCGTTTACCCGAACCAATGACAATTTATCCACAGATGGACCAGCTGATACTCGAAGACGAGGTGCCATTTCGATTAGATGATGGTGAATAGCAAGACACAAGGATGTGGAGTGATTGGTATAAGCTGCGCGTGGTATTACGTCAGGCAAAGCTGGATATTATATAGAATACATGCATACATCAAAGATCATGCTCTCAATGTAGGAGGATTGTACAATTCACTGAATGGCATCTCTTTTGAAGGTTGTAGCCAATTTCGTGAATCATAAAGTGCCTTGGTTGAATCGCCCTCTATACAATGGAAAGTATAGATGTATCTGCTCTTGTCACTTTTATTCTTTTCACTTTTGTGCATCACCGATCCATGGATTAGAACCAATGTTCCCGCTTTACAAGCTTCAACAGAAGCTCTTTTTTCATCCCATTCTTCCTCTTCTTGTTCTGATAACGTTTCGAAACCAGTTCCTGCATCAACATTCTCGGGATCAGATCGAACGAAGCGTTTGTTCACACCGCGTGGTTCTCCATACTTTTGCCTGATTTCTTCCTTTTCATTTTGCGGTCTTGGCTTTGTGTAGTTCGATTTTGATGAATCGTCCTGCCATCTATGTGATCCCGGAATAAATGACAAACATCCATTTGTCGTCGTACAATCTTCTAATGCAAACCAAAGTCCTGTCGCACTGGGTGGAGAAGTGTATAAAAATGTTGAATCGTTATGAGGCGGAACTGCACCACCGATCGAAGGTTGTTTACAGATAACCATAGATTGCAGACATTGAGGTATGGAGAATGATTCTAAGGATCTGATTAAATTTTGAACCTTTTCCGAGAATGTCAATTGATGAAAGATTGGATCCAAGCTATGCAACGCATGCCCGCACTTGTTGACGCATAGATCCGGCGATCGATTTAGCATGCCGTTTGAGCCTATAGAGTCTTCTTCTAAGAAATAACGAATCTTATCGCCACTTTCTAGAAAGTATCGGTCTCCAACATGTTCTTTTCCATCTTCCTTCGTTCCTTCTTCTCCACCTGTGCTGAATTTGGTCATAGGATGACCATTTGGATCGAATGAATGAATTAGCTCTTTGGCATGCTGTAGAATTGGCTTAGGGTCGAAAAAGTCTGGAATAACCAAGTAACCATCCTGATGATATTTGGCAAGTTGAGACGCGGTTAATGAGCCTGACATTTTGGATCAAGGTGGTGAACAGAGTGGTATCAATGAGCAGCGAATCATCGTTACAGCAATACTTTCTCACTATACGCGAGATCCCACTTAAGCTATTGCTTGCTATAAGCTACTCAATTCTTATAATTATTGACCCGGCATGTACACGCCGTATAGCAGTTTGTATAAGCCGTATTCTTCCATAAGCCATTTGAGCCTCTCCCCGCTCATAGGTCTGATTCTAAGCGGGTAAAAGAGAATTTCGTATGTAAGCAAAACGCTAAAACCTTATCTACAATCGTGCATCAGGTAGTTCACCAGTGTTTTTCGTAAGCCGATTATCGGTGGAAAAACTCTAAATCGGCTTAGAAAGAGTCCCTCATAGGATATCTGGTCATCGTGACAATCATGGTCATCGTACGATTTCACATGACAGCTAACATTCTATCGGGCAAACAAGATCGACAATTGTGCATGATATACGAATTGATCGAGGTATGAAGAGATGACAATAAAATGATAAGAAGAAGCCCAAAAGATGTTTGAAAAAAAGAATAATTTTGAAATCTTTGCAAGATATACATGACGAAGAGAAAGCTCTTACAAGCAAAACAAGCTATCCATAAAGCATTCTAAGGGGATTCTTGTTTAAGAGATTCATCGTGGTGGTGATTGTTGAGTGCGGCTCTCGTCTCTTGACCAAGTCCTGCCTTTTCGGCGAGCTCACGACGGTAATCCTCATCGGGATCAAATCCTTTTGTCTCACGCAAAACAACAAGCGTAATGATGGCACCAAGAACGGAAATTGCGAAGAAGATCCAAAACACGTTCTGTGTTCCAATACGACTTGGGTCGGCGAGGTATGAGAACAACAAGGAGGCCAAGATGGCACCACATTTACCGCAGGCGGCACAGAAACCGTGAGCTGTTGAACGAACGGCGGTTGGGAAAATTTCGACTGGGTATAAGAAAGTGGTGGCATTGGCACCAAAGTTGAAGAAGAATTGCAAAAAGACGAACAAAGGGAAGATTTGGTTGGTGTGTGGTGCATAATCGTTGAATTTGCCTGCCAAGATACCCAAGAAAAGAGCGTTCATGAGGAAACCCATGATTTGAATTGGCTTGCGTCCGATAATATCAACGAAAGCGATTGTGAAGAAGTAACCTGGCAAGAAACCTGCGACTGTGATGATCAAGTTACCGGTGGCTGTCTTCATCAATTTTGAGTATGCCTTTTCACCTCGTGTTACACCGTTGGCGTTTGAGAAACCAATGGTGGACAAGATAGTAGATTGGTTCAAGTTGATACCGTAGAAAGTGATATCGACCAAGAACCAACAAGCAGCACAACCGAACAAGTACAAAGCGTGACGTGGGTTGGAGAAGTATTCGAAGAATTCGTTCTTTGGCTTTTGTCCAACGATACCGGTCATACCAACAGCCTTGTTTTCCAAGTGCAAGCTACCTTGTTCGGAGCCCTTGCCGGATTGAAGATCATCTTCTTCACTGACGATAACACCTGCTGCACTTGCTTTGTTCAACAATTCTGGGTCATCTTGAATAGCACGGGCTTGAGTGAAACGGGTTGATTCGACCAAAGTCAAACGGAAGTACAAAACAGCAAAGGCTGGCACCAAAGCCAAACCTTGCAAGATACGCCAAGCACCAGAGAGCTTGTGAGTATCACCAGCAACGACTGGTCCACGGTAACAAGCGATAACAATGACGGCCAGAACAGCACCCAACAAGTTACCCCAACCTTGATTGGAGAAAATGATGGCTAACATACGACCACGGTTCTTCAAGTTTGAACGATCAGAAACGACGGAAGCAGACATTGGGTAATCACCACCGATACCGATACCCATCAAAATACGGAAAGCGAAGATCCAATAAGTGACACCATCACCGCCAAGGTAATCAGGAGCAGAGATGATCATGATAACACCAACGATGGTAACGATCAATTCTTTACCGTAAACGGCTGAACGACCAAAGTAATCACCAAAGAAACCGAAGATTAATTGACCCAAAACGTTACCGATGTTAGCTGAAGCTTTCAAAACACCACCTTCCAAACCCCAGTTGATGTTCTTGTTTGTCTTACGGTTGTAGAAGACCGGGTAAGTTTGTAGGATGATTGCGTACATCATATTGATGATGAACAAATCATAAGCGTCCATTAAGAAACCCACACCTGCAATCATTAAAAGTTTGATTTCAGGCCATGAGATACCCAAGAAGCTATTATTACGACGTCTTTCGATCAAAGCCAAAGAAGTAGATGCATTTTGGTATGCATCAAGGTCAGCACCGAAAGCCATCTTGAAGGATGTTATGCTTGAGTGGGAGGGAGAAGTAGGTGAATGATGATGAGGTCTATCCTGGGGAGAAAGAAGAAGTTGAATGAAGAAAAAAGTCGCCTTTAAGAAGGTTTGCTAGATCAATAGGATTACAATCACCGCTGATTCGGACATTTCCGTTGATCAAATTTAGGTAGATTTTCAGTCTAACAAAAAAGTTGCCATCGTTTGAGACTTTCTTCCTCATCTGCAAATGAGGAGAATAAAAATCGCATACATACGTGAAATATCAATCGGCGGTCAAAGCGGTAAAATAAAAGAGATAATCGTAGTTTCACCTCTCAATCTGGGCGTGAAATCGGCGGCTGAAGGGCAAAGGCGGCAAGGACATGAAAAGGATATGCATAGAAGAAACCTATACTTTTGTTCCTGATGAAATCGTTTGGGCGATACTGATGAAGTGGGATAGAATGGCTTTCATTGTCATGATAATTTGTTATTTTTTTGCGCACGTTCTAACATTGACATTCATATGCACGCATGCATGATTCAAAGTCCAGACTCAAATTTTACCCGTTTAGAGAAATACACTCATCAGATGCCCGCATTTTAGCGCATGATTTTCATTTTCAATTCATTCTCCCCAAAAGACACACTTACTCAAATGCAAACTCCGAACCCAATTTCAATCACATCTAGACCGGGAACTTGTTTGTGACTTCAAAAAGGGAACGTTCTTGTTTGCATAATAGATGGGATGAAATTATAACAGTACTTACCCAAAAAATCATTGTGAAACGAGTGCGCAGGAACGAGTGCTAAAGACAGATGTTCATTCACATTTCTCTCCTCGCATAATTCAAATCCGTAAATTTGTCTTGGCAAAAATAAAGATTGATGATATTCAGGTCATGTCAACCGACATAATCAACGGCATGGCTTCAATATAGTAATGTAACCGAAATTTTTTTCTTCCCGCATATTCATTCTTCAATTATCCGATGGTACCGCAAAGGAAACCGCAAAAGCCGCCGATTGGATTAATGAAAGGCATTTTTGCCGCGGCGAAGAAATCATTCAAAGAAAGTGGATCATCTTTGTTTGGTCATCCCGAATCATAGCACGTACATACCCCCATTGATTAGTGTCTAAATCTTTACTAATATTTCATCATCTATGGGAAAATGATCGATCGATTAGCGTTTAACGGTATGATATCCTAATATATACCAAATTAGTGTGATGGAATTTGCGTCATCATCATCATCACCAAACACGATAAGATAACATTCAAAAGAACATCTCAATCTCTTCTCCCCCCAAACTTAGCGCGTTTTGATGGAGATCTAGGTCGAGTAACCCTATCCTGAGGCACAATTACAGTCAAAAGTTTAAATTTATCAAGATCTGCAGGCATATGCACGTCAAAGCCATCTTACAGCGAGCGCACGTTCTCATCAGCAGCCAATCAGAAAGTTGTAAGCAATACATATGCTAGCACACGTGACATTCACTAACACCTTTTTGCCTCTTTCACTCCTCAACGGTTTACTCTTAACACGTGACCCTGTCTACTCAACGTCCTTACCCACCCCATGAATGGAATGTTCTAAGAAGCCAATTGAGTATTCCTGCCGCCGCACGTGTCAATTCTTGTTATATAAGCAAATATCACCTTCCCGCTCGAACCCCCAATGCCAAACACTCTTAAGATGACCAAATATAAACCTTTTGAGGTCTTATAGCATCACTTTCATCACCAAGAAACGGCAATGTCAGCTTCGGCAGTCTCAGCTGGTTTGTTTGTTGGCGGTGTGGCAGTAGGGGCAACTGGGGCATGGTTATTGCAAAAACCGGAGCATAACAAGCCGATTGTTGGTGTTGCACAAGCATCAATACCCAATCATTCTACTTCTACCCCTTCCCCTTCTTCTGAAAGTGACATTCGTCTAATACACGGTAATCCAGGACCTGTTGCGGATTTTCTTCGTCATGTTTCTTATATTAGCGCATACGATCGAATGCACAAACATCCTCATTGGACAGCCGAACATATCACTGCAGCCCATTTAAGACCACCTCTTTCGGACGGAGGAGGTGGGAAAGGAGATCGAAGTAGAAGTGTTTTCAAAGAAGATGATCGAATTCCGCTTTTGTTCAGAAGTAAAAATTCAGATTATTTTCGTTCAGGATACGATCGTGGTCATATGGTTCCTGCAGCTGATTCAAAAATTTCTCAAATTGCAATGGATGAAACATTTTTATTGAGTAATATTGCACCACAAATTGGTGAAGGTTTTAATAGAGATTATTGGGCTCATTTGGAAGATTACGTTAGAAGATTAACAACCAAGTTTGAAAATTTATACGTTTTCACAATTCCACTTTATTTGCCAAGATTACAATCAGACGGTAAATGGAGAGTGAATTATGAAGTTATAGGAGATCCTCCTTCGGTTTCCGTTCCAACTCATTTTGCAAAAGTCATTTACGCTCAAGGTAGACCGGGTGATCGTAGCACGCCAACAACATCTACTTCTCCCGCTTTGCCTGCTACCAATCCAGGATCAAATAATAGCCTTTTGGGAAAAGTCGGATTGAGTGGATCTTCTTCCAATTGGACAGCATTGGGCGCATTCGTTTTACCAAACGCAATCATTCCAAACGAACAACCGTTAAAGAGCTTTTTGGTTCCCGTCGAAGCTGTTGAAAGGGCTGCCGGCTTGATGCTCTTCCCTCCTGCAACGAAAACCAATACACCTTCTTTGTGTGATGTGACTGATTGTCAAATCATCGTACGTGATTTCAGTGACCGTAATAAACAACAGCAACAACAGCAACAAACCAGAAATGCATCACTACCAACACCTTCCCGTTAATCTATACTCTTGTACTTATACTAGCACACATTATTAATATAAAAGCGATTACGATCGAATTAGAATGGCATCTAGATTGTACAAGTAGTTGATCACAAGATCAAAAAGAGGGAAAATCCTTTTTTTGGGATGAATAAAAACACAAAGGGCAGAAGTATGAATAAGCAGCATGTCCATACAGGAGCAGGTCCGTCCAAGAAATGGCAATGACATATGAAGATTGAAAACGAAAGTGTGATTGTGACTGGCAGCAAATTCAAAGAAGGAATTGCGCAAAAGAAAATGAACTGGTTTTGTTTTGAAAACTTGATGAAACGGATATGCTTGCAAGAAAAGAAAGAGAATCATCGTGCGTGCTGGAATTGAATTGTTCTATAATGACAAAAATGTGTGTTGGAATCAATGCTGATAAGCTGGATGCACATCTGGGATGTACACCTGTTGACCTGCAACGGTACCATAGTATTGCTGTTGTGCATGTTGTTGCTGTTTGATGTTTTGATGGTAGAATTGATATTCATCATCGTATGTGCCTGCAGGTTCACCGCTGAAGGTTGACTTTCCATCGTCGGTCCAAGGACTGGCTTCGAATTCGGCTGGTGGGGTATCGGGTGAAGCTCTGCTGCTGTTACTGCTTTCAGAATGAGATAAGCCAGTTGGACTTGGCGTCATGCTGTATCCACCAACAGAAGAGATTGAGCCTCGGGAAGACGAAAGTGAAGCCATAGATGGTGAGAGGTGATGAAGACCAGGTTGCGATTGTCCGTAAATGTTTTGTTGCGATTGCATTGTGAAAGGTGCACGAACACCTTGTGCTGATGCATAGCCTGCATTCACCATGGAAGGGTGCATAGATGCATATGAATCAGTTGCACAAACCGATGGTGCACTTGCACTTGCCATGACTGGTACAGTTGTTGGAGAAACAGTTGCACTGCTTGATGCTCGTGGATAGATAGCAGACATACTTGCCCGAGCACGATGTTGAGCGCTATGATGACGGCCCATGACGTGTGCTTGTGGGTATTGTTGTTGAGCCATCTTTGTTGGAGTTGTATCAACAGATTGACTTGATCCGACGGCTGTAACATCATCCGAGACCATTGGACTGGATGGTGCTGTTGTGCCATTGCTCAAGTCTACCACGGTGGCAACTTCACCAGCTTGTAGTAGAGAAGTGAAGGCTTCCAATTCTTCGTATTCAACGTTGACCTTGTAGCCCAAGTAGCCAAACAATTCCCGTTCCATTTGGTTGACTTCTCGTAGTGAGAACAGGCCTTGACTGACGATCGTCCAGCTTTTGTTGGAATATGTATCATCACAAGATGATTTGCTTGCCAACATCAAAGCAGAGATGAACAATCTATGACCTGATGATCCACGAGCGGCTGGAAATCGACTTTTGAGCCTACGTAACAAGAAGAGGGCTTGGAAAGTGATCTCATCGGGAAGGCGGGTACGGTGAAGAGCATAAGCGATAAACTCTGCAAGTCTTGGTGTTGGTCGAGTCTGAGAACTGGAAACGGCTACAGGTGCATTGACTGAAGAAGAGGTTGAATCAAGAGGACAAGCGAATAAAGCAGAGATAACACTCTCTGATAATTCACTGATCTCTCGATGTCCGTAAAATCGGTCGTACATATCTGCATGTTTTCTCGACGATGAAGAAGAGGCGGATTGCGTTTTGACTGCACCACTTGAAGAAGCAGATCGAACGTGACCTTGAGAGGCGGAGTGATTCCACTGTTGTGTTGCAACGGCTGCCATTTTGTTGAAGATGAAAAAGAAAATGGGAGAGGTTGAAAGTTCGATGTGGCAAGAGAGAGAGAGAGAAATAAAAGAGTAGACTTAAGGTTCCTTTAGGCTTGCGTTATCGACATGGAATGATGTTGAATTCGAAAAGATGAATACCTTTAAGTTGAAGTTGAGAGTGATGATTGGTTGAATCACTCGAATCTATTCGTGTAGGAAGATTGTAATTGCGAATTGATGAAAGCGCTCAGTATATATAACTATACGTGAACTGAAGGCGGATGAGGATGTAGTATTGAAGAAAGAAGATTGATGTTGATATAGTAGGAAAAGGTGATGTGTTATGGTCTTGCATTTGGATTCAGAATCCCCGGTTTAATTCAATCACAGGCAGGCAGACAAGCAGCAGCGGCCAGCAATCGCAGCAGCAATCACTTGAATCATGGTAATGTTTTAGACCATACGTATCGTTTCATGCACGCATTATACCGACAGCATGTACCAAATAGAAAAAAAAGGCCAGTAGGGATCTGGCCTTCTATCCGCGGGGCCAAATAGCAGTCTTTCAAGCCGTTTTTCGAGTAAAGAGTGAAATGAGAACTTAGACAGGTATTGCGCCCTCGTTTGGTTCACCTGTCAAGTAAGAAAAAAAACTGCACAGCTATACGGGGTGTAAGGAAGCGAACTTTTGGATTTGGTTCGGAAATACAGCCGTGTTACCCCTTTTACCAAAATGGAAGGTTATTGGGAAAAAGAGGGCGCAATTGCCGTTATTTGCTTTGTGGCAAAAGCCCGTGTAAAGTGCCTGTGCGTATGCGTGTGAGTGTGTGATTCGGTTTGTCTCGCTAGAGCGGACGGGGATCTCATCAATCATAACATACAAGTTTCACCAAGGATTATCAGCAAAGTTTCACACTGCGGAGAGCAAAAAGAGGGGGTAGGGACTATACTAGTGTACGTATGAAGTATTGTATTCGATGTGGGTTCAAAAAGGGTAAGAAAATGGCATCATACCTGTGGAGTTTGAATTGAAAATCGAAAGGTTTGTAGTGTTTTATTCGCTCATGCGTGCGTGCGTGTTTTTTTGAATCCAAACTGCGTCATGTAAGTTTAGTCTTTCTTTTGATCAAATCTTTCCGGGTCTCGCATATGGGCGTAGGTAAACAAGTATATATAATCCAATGGAAATGACTCGGGCATACAAACAGTACAAAAAGTCTCACATGTACAATGTATGCACTTTGGAACAAGATAGCGCCCTAGTTGCATTGCATAAACGATTTCTTTTAAGCGCAGTTTAAATGTTGAGCTGCATAGGAAACGAAAAGCGACTCAAACTTCAAGCGCGCATCAGCAGTGTTCGGAGACGGGATATGCTGTTCCTTCAATGTATGCATGCAGGAATACAGTTATGCGCCCCTCTTTTTTTCTTAGCGTAAAGCTTGCCTCGCTTGTCACCTTTCCATAGTGTGTTTTTTTACCCTGTTTTAATTCTTTCGCATGCAAGCGCACCTACCCTCTTTTTATGCATGCTATCATCAACCCTTTTTAGCCTATCCCGAAAAGGCAACTCTGAGTCTAGGCAGAGGAAAGTTTGTTTTTATAAGGAGCACATGACCGCTGTTTAACTTACAGTACCGCTAAACAAGTTTATCATGATGAAAATAGCGTAAATTAGCGTACTTTTTCGATTGGAAATGTCCATCGAAAAAGTGCTCAAAGGCAGGAAGGGCAATTTCGAAATAGAAAAAGTCTTGTCAAGGGCTGAGATGCTTTGAACATCGTGCATGATTAACCCGTTCATACTTTCCTTCTTTGTTTTCTTTCACGCTAGAGACCGGAGCTACGAATCGAACTGAACAATAATGACGCGCATACAGAATTGGTGCCTGAATGACAATTGATAAACCGGGTCGCACTGTCAAAAAGAAAATGCTTCTCATGAGGGACCAAGAAATGACTTCGGCAATAAGTCTTGTCACACAATTATTCTATGCTTCCTCGTGACAACATCTAGAATGTACATGCTTTTATCATTCTTTTTCAAGCCATACAAAAGCCATTTCAAAGCCATTAATTCATTGAAGCAAGCAAGTCTTATGTGCAGAGGCTAGAATTTAGGGATCACCATGAAACAGCAAACAAAGATCTTCTATCTATTGTTTGTGAAATCCGAATGATTGGTTCTGAATAGGTACCGAAATACAAAGCAAATATCAGATTTTGGGTCACCACCATGCAATGTACATAATGAGCAAGCATAATGCAGTGATCGTCTTGTATTTGGTTTCGTAATTGCCATGGTTTCACCTTGATTGTCCGAAAAGTGCTCTGCTGACATGCTGCCCCCATCTTTGATTCACTTCGGACAACGACGACAGCGCTTGCATGTGCATGTGTGCGCTGCGCGCGCGCCTGAAACTGGCAAAATTTCGGCCATTTCTGCCTTTGCCCTGAGTCAGTTTGAGATTTGGCTTGCTTGCCGTTAGCCAATCACATACATACATACACATAGGGGGAAAGTTAAGGCTTGCTTGCATACAACAAAAGGCCTAGAAGAAGTTTCCATTTTCGAAGTTCTATTCATACTCCGACTTTTTGTATAAGATATTCATTTTCCCTACATTCCGATTATTCAATCTTTGACAAGAAGAGGCTGCCAATCTGTCTATCTTCAAAGAAAGAGCGGATAAAAAGGCTAGACTTAATCATATACATGTATGGTCATCCGCAAATTAAGAAACGTGGCGGAAAAAGACTGGTTATAATTCGGGTTATTCATGTTTGGTTACCACCTTGTTTCCTTTGTGATCGATTCAAACATCGAATAAATCGGAATATTTTTCTTATTCGGTAGAATCGCCGATTGAAATGGAATATTAATTTATGTATATGTTTGAATATATCCAAGAATAGAATCAATCTCATGTCCCTTTTGTTTCTCTCCCTTTGTTCGGGTGTTGAATAGTAGCTTAAATCATGATGCAAGGCTACATATTATGACACTAGTCTTTCCCACTATAACGCTATCGTTTGTTCTTCGTTTTGAATGTATGTGAGGTGAAGATGTATGTCTAACTACGCCCATAATAGGTAAGGGGTATTGCATACATACGCACATAGCCTACTTACCCTATGGCCCCGCAGTTGCACTTTCTAGAAGAAATAGTACCGTACGAATCAGCTTGTATATGTATGTACAAGCAACTGTAGCTTAGATATTTCCGACAAGGATTTTGAGAGCTAGAAGTATATACTTCTTCATCAAGGGTCATACGCCAAGAATATCGTTCAAATTGATTGATATCTACTTTTGCCCACGCTACGGATATTTAATAAAGTTTAGTTCATCCTTTTAACCTATTGTCATGTTTCCGGTTTATTAATTGAAAGCGATCACACCTTACTTTAGCTTTCTCCAAATCGGAAAGATGAGGAGAGAATACGCTATCATATCTTCTTTATCTTTTCACTACATACTCTAACCTAAGATAAGCAAAGAAGTATGCTAGATTGATTTGATAGCACAAAATTGCGAAATGAAACAAAGGAAGATTTATTTTAGTGTACATTTGCTTTACCGTCTATAAATTGAATTGCATGCATAAAGCTAACATTGTTTCCATTGTTCTCCGCATAAAGTCGAACAATGGGCAACGGATGAATATTGTGCCGTCCGTCCCATTTGTGGGGCCAGATCTGGTTATCACGTGGACTGAATCGCTTCTCCATTCGTCACTTTCGTTTCAGATGTGGTATTCTTCTTATCATTCCAAGGTCCTCGATTGCTAAAGGGACATCCTCCCGTACATCCTTCACATTTGCATTTTCCTCCCATATATTCAGGGAATTCATTTGGATCGATATACTTGAACAAGATTGAATGATAATCCGTTCCTGCAATATCAATCTTGGCTGCCGTGGCGGGAGGTAACCAACCTTTGATGTATGACCAAATCGTGGTAAATAACCAAGGTGCATTGATAATTTGTACTCTTCCACTTAGTTCTGGATAGTTTGCATCCAGGATTGCAAGGAGTTCTTGTAATTTGTTCTTGAAAGACCAAAACGTTGACATTCCCAATCCTGCTACGTTTAAGATCATAAAGTTATCATCGACAATGATTCGCGAGACTTCTTCTTCTGTTGCACCTTGCTTTCGAGCTTCTTCGCGAGCTAATTGCGTACATGCACGATACTTGTTTCGGACTGCATCTTCCAAACTCAGAGCAAAGAATTTCACGATTCGATCGGGAGTTGTGTTCTGGAATACCTCATGGACCTGTAGATAACTCAAATCTTGCACGAATATCGGTCGATGGTATTTATCGGTAGAATGAAAGTACATCTTCCATCCTAATTCTCCAATCTTTTCCCTCTCTTCAAAATCATATCCTCCCTCTTCTTTCGGTTTCACCATTTGATCAATGTTTACCTCTTTTCGCCAATTCAGTGTATCTTTATACATCTTTTTCGCATTTTCTATATTCCAATTTCGCGCTCGCAAATATCGTCCCAAGACGATATGAATTTGATCTGGTGTCTCGAATAGGTAATCATCCTTCAAACAATCTTCTTGTTTTAATTGTTGTTCAAAATCCAACAAAATCTTTGTCTGTTCTTCAGAATAATTGCCTTGATGACCTGATTTATCGAGAGGTGGCAAAGGAGTGGAGCTACCTTGACCTGTTAAAGGCGTTGTTGCTCCAGATTCACGTACAGATGGTGTTCTTGATCCGGCCATGTCTATAGAAAAGAGTTACTTTTGATGATGACCAAAGTGTTGAACCATCTTTCAGAAGCGGAGAAAGCTGGCAACCAACATAGAATTGCATGTTTAATTTTTGACTGATAAAGTGCCAACGCCTCCACGCCCTACTGTCGTGTGTCGTCAATTGGCGCATTCTTGCAAAGAAATGCAAGATTAAGCTTATGTCACGTGTTTTCGTCATCTTTGGTTACATAAGGCATTCATTTGGTTGGTTTAGGATCTATTCAATTATACTGCCAAAGTACACACGCGTTCTTTTCCTCCACCGAATGCGTACATCTGCAGTGTTGGTCTGCAACCAAAAGTACTATACATACATCACCCATTGCTCACTTTTCTTAGAGCGCTGAGTAGTACACAGGCTTGACCTTTCTTGTTGCTCACCATCATACACCTTTACGCACACAAAATGGTGACAACCAAAGCCAGAAATTCAGGAGGAACATCTATCGGAAGAGCGTTGGGAAAAGGAACAAAAGGGACAACAAATGCACTACAAAAAGGAAAAATTGCATCGATCAAACAAGAAGGAAAAAGTCCTGCTGTCCAACGTTCAAGATCTGTGAGCCCAACGTATACCAAAGAACAATTAGAAGAAGCAGAAGGGCGTCAATCGCTTGAACCAAATGACTCTCGCTACAATGCCCTTTGGAAAGAAACACAAGAAAAGATGGGAATGCCTAAGCATAAACCTAGTGAGTATATCATTCATACAGTGCATATATTGTGATTTTAGGGGAAGCTAATCCATCATCTATTCCTTCAGTACACAGCGACAATATGAACAGAATACAACATATCCTTCGAGTATTCGATTTGGATCCCTCGTAAGTACAGATGATCAGTTTCTATGGCCTGTTGTTCTGACGATCACGTTCACCCCCTTTTCAGTTACGGACCTTGTTTGGGCATGACAAGATTGGAACGATGGGAAAGAGCGGAGAAACTTGGCGATGAACCTCCAAGTGAGATTAGAGAAATCTTGGAGACCAAGGAAGGAATCTTGGACTTAAAGTATTCTGTCCTTCACGACAAAGGAGTTTGAGTTCGGCATTCCCTCTAACTTGTATTTGTACCGGCTCACAATACCATATACATACTGTGTAATAGACGGATGTACGATTATGACATTATTGTGCTGAGGAAAATCTTTGAAGTGTCTCTTCGGTTGTCAGAATTTCAGCTGCACGTTCGAATGTCTTGATCATTGTGTTGTGCAATTCTGGATCAGGATCAGCACATGCATCTGTCACAATAATCATACCGTAATCCAAATCCATCCCGTTACGAACTGTAGTCAAGACTGCATTAGCGGTCGCAACACCGGTAATGACTAAATTGTCGATTTTGCGATTTTGCAATTGTTGGTGCAAATCTGTATTTGTGAAAGGTCCAGGTCGAATCTTACGAATTTGGATATCGTTTGGTTGTACACCACCTAGATCTGGATGAATCTGTGCTGATTCATCATCAGCATGAAAGCCCATTTGCGATGGTGTCTTGATACCCATTTTAGAGAAGCGAGAAAAGGTCTACAAAATAGAGAAGGAGGTGAGCAAAAGTACATTACAAAATTTCAGCTCTTGCAGCGCATATACTCACCTTATTTGTAGATGGAATGTTTTGAAATTCCTCATCTGTAAACGCAACACGAACGAAAATGACGGTGATTCCTTTTGCACGAGCACCTTCTACGAGTTTTTTGGTATTGTCTATCAACTTCTCGACATCATTTAACTTGGCCAGACATGCCGGTTGAATGTCCAACACCAAGAGGGCTGTTTTTGATGCGTTCATGATTGAGAGATTGTTTGGATTGGATGATCTACTGCTTTGTGAACAAATCAATTTCAATCACAAAGAACTTTGGTCATATATATACCATGCGGAATATTCTTTCATGAAGAACGAACCTTCAACCCAATTTCATCAGGATGAAGTATGAATACAAAAGTCTAAAGTCCGCGTATATAAGCTAGCTCTCAAATTTATTTCCGAGTAATGACCGATATGTCGGTTCTAATTCGCACCTTTCGCCGATCTTTCTTGACGTGGGGGAGGGTGTTGGCCCTGAGGGGAGGCATTTGACAAGCCTTCCGGCGGCCGTGCGTCCGCATATGATCTTTGGATTCTATGCGCATAGTACGTAGGGCGTGGCGGATATACGTTTAAGCAGCGCTTCTATAAGAATGCCGAAATCTGCTTTTCGGTTAATTATCCTATTCCCGACTTGTCGGTTCAGATGGAATTAGAACCGATAGAGTGGCTTAGTGCCCACTCTAATGTTTAGATAATTTTTATGGAAAATGTTTATCAAGTTTGGGGTGCATGCAATCAATCATCATCATATGGACATTCAGTATAAAAGGTGGAATGACAATGTTGTAGGTAGAGTTCGCTATCCTCGACCAACAACTCAATTAATATCATGCATGACGAAGATCGACATTCGATATCAACGCATTCACAAAATGATACTCTAACCTCTTCAAGAAGAGGTTCAAATTCAGAAAAGGAGAAAAGACTAAATGATAGAAAGAATGGAAAACACACCCCACCAGATGAGGAAAAGGGAGAGACAGGGTCTGATATAGAACGCGATCGGCAGCATGAAGAAGATATTGAGGCAATGGGTAGTCTACCTATGCCGCAAGAAGCTATTTCAACAGAGAAAGAAGTACAAGAGGAGTATTCTACATCGAAGGAATGCTCGACAGCTGTTTCTGAACATGATTCCAACGTTATCGGCTGGGATGGGCCCAATGATCCAACTAATCCAAAGAATTTCAGCCATAGGAGAAAGTGGATCACAACTTTGCTTTTTGGGTATGTTTGACAATCCTTCAAGCTTTTTCTATTTGACTAACATCGCACACTCTTCCTTCACCATAGTTGCTATGCAGTCCTTTCACCTCTATCCTCTTCAATGATCGCTCCTTGTATTGAACAAATGAGCAGGGACTTACACATCATTTCTTCGGTTGAACAAAATATGGCAGTTAGTATCTATATGGCAGGTTATATCGTTGCTCCATTATTCATAGGACCATTGTCGGAGGTCGTTGGAAGGAGACCCGTTCTCATGACTGCAAATGCAACTTTTATCGTTTTCAATTTATTATGCTCTCGTGCTGGAAATTTTAGTCAAATCATTGCATTTCGTTTCCTGGCAGGTTTAGGAGGAGCAGGTCCGATCAGCGTTGGAGGAGGTGCTTTGAGTGATATTTGGAGTGCAGATGAACGTGGAAAAGCGATTGCATTATTCTCTATTGGAGTGAGTGAAAGATGAAGAACATATTCGAGATTGACCAATTTCTGACCAAATCAATCAAATAGCCTCTTCTTGGCCCGGCTATTGGCCCAATCGCAGGTGGTTTTATGGTCGAACATGATCTTATCGTAGGTCAACAAGCATGGAGATGGGTGTTCTATATTACGACAATGGTTGCTGCCGTTCCTGCACTATTGGGTGCATTTTTCTTACCCGAAACTTTCGCTCCAGTTCTTCTGGCAAAGAAAGTTAAAAAGATGAAGAAAGAAACTGGTAACGAAAATTTACGATCGATTCATCAAAAAGATGAAACCTGGCTACAATTATGTGAACGATCTTTGGTAAGACCTTTGATCATGATTACAACGCAACCGATTGTGATCGTTCTTGCATTATATCTGACCATCATCTTTGGTACTTATGTAAGTATACTTTTCCCTACACCTTCTTTGGATCACTACTAACATCCTTTCACCTCTTCTAGTACATCTTATTGGTCACGTTTACACGAGTACATCAAGAAGTATACAATGAATCAAGTGGGATTGCATCATTGCATTATTTATCACTCGCTTTAGGATTCTTGACCGGAAGAATGATAGGAACAAGATTGATGGATAAATTTTACAAGCAATTCCGACAAAAGAATGATGGCAAAGCCACGCCTGAAATGCGTTTGATCTTAATGGTCGTTCCGTGTTTTTTAATTCCAACGGGAATGATTATTTATGGCTGGACGTGAGTTGTTCGGAAAAGAACGTGATGAGAGAGTGATATTGACGCATTCGATTCCTGTTTTTTTGACAGCATTCAATATCGAGTCTTTTGGCTTGTACCCGATATTGGTTCCTTCATCTTTGGAATGGGGATCATGGCAACGACTTTCGTCGTTCAAACATATACGATAGAGTGAGTTGAGAATCATTCTACCAACCTGAATGATAGACTGACCAAATTTTTTATTCTCTCTCCAGCGCTTATTCGGCTTATGCAGCCAGTGCATTAGCAGCAACAACTTCTTTACGATCAGCAGCAGCATTTGGATTTCCCTTGTTTGCATCAAAGATGTACGACACCTTAGGTTATGGATGGGGTAATACTCTTTTGGCTTTCCTTGCTTTCCTAGCTGGAGGGCCAGGCACATTGTGCATCTACCTTTATGGTCCAAAACTACGCAAGCTTTCACCTTATGCAGCAGGTGAAGAATATTAAAAATCAGCATTTGTACAATAGCACATAACAAAAAGCATTTCCATAATAGCATTTAAGCAATCATTTAGTTGCCTCTGTTGGTGAAGCAGTGAACCGATATTGTTCAAGACCTTCTTCAGGTTTGCTTTGATTGATCGAAAAGAAGGTTGAATTTGACTCTTGTTCTGCTGCTCGATCGTGCATCGCCAGTAATTCTTTGAATTTTGCCCACTCCTCCTTTTTCATCTTGTACGATTCAGCTTCAGCAGGAAAACTTCCCTCCTTGACAGCATCAACGTAAGATCGAACGGCTGCCATTCGAATAGAACCAACAGAACTGCCTCCAGTCAAAGGAGAAACGAAGTTACGAACAAATCTTGGCAAGCCTGGCGTGTTGAGTGCCGATTTAGGAGGGGCAACATTTGGAGCTGCACCATCGTTGGCCCCTTCCAAACCAGCTAAAACGTAAAGAGGCGAATTGCATTCGCCCAAGACATCGTCCATAACAAGAACTTGACCATCAGTTTTTGGACCCGCTCCAATACCGATCGTAGGAATGTCAAGTCGTTTTGTTATCTCTTCACCAACACGAGCGGGAATGCATTCTAATAGGCAGGCAAAAGCACCTGCTTCCTGCATCATGATTGCTGTTTGCAAGAGCTCAAAAGCTTCATCTGCAGTTCTGCCGGCTAAGTTCAATGCACTTCCGCTGGATGAACGTTGAGGTTGCAAACCTATGTGTGCCATCACTGGAATACCAAAAGAAGCCAACCTCTCTACTAAAGGAACTAATTCCATTCCACCTTCCATCTTTACGCCATCTGCGCCACCTTGTTTGATCAAGTTCACAGCTGCTCTTGATCCTTCTTCAAGCGAAATTTCTGCATAACCCATTGGGACGTCTGCTATCAAAAGTGGAACAGGTGAAACCCCATGTTGATTGAGCATTGGATGACGCAAGCCTCGAACGACTGCTTGAACATGATGAATCATTGCTTCTAATGAAAGCGGATGTGTGGTCCGATGACCTAAAGCAACATTTGTCAATGAATCTCCTACTAAACAGATATCCACCGCACCACTGCGGATGCCCAGAGCGGAAGGATAATCGTAAGCGGTTAGCATGGCGATTGATTCTCTTCGTTCTTTTAATTCTTGTAAATCTCGAACTGTGATTGCACGTTCTCCGGGTGGTAAAGAGTTTTTGTCAACATTGTTGGAGCTATACGCTTTCTCTGCTTCTGCTGCTGCCCTTTCTTTTGTTGTTGAACTAGGTGAAGCATCACGACCTAAAGGCCAAGCACTTTTACGGATTGTAGTGGAATGAAATAATCTCTTTTGCGTCTTTTTTCCATTCGTGACAGCTTTGCATTGAGCGTCTAAAACCGATAAAGGCGTTTGACTTGTACTTCCGACCAAACAACATCCGCCTCCGCGACACCCAATATGGGCAAAATCCGATCTGGATGTCATGCGGAGCATTCTCGTGGCTGCTTGCCGTGCTGTTGAGGCCATTATTAGGGAAAAAAAGTATTGATGATGGAGAGAAGATAGTAAGAAGGAAAGGTGTGCAACTGGTTTTTATGTTGACTCGAAGTTTTGAGTTTAAAATTGATTTTAGCGCCATTCTCGGCTAACGGACGCGTACCGATCCATCTTAACCGGTCTTTGCATTTTTCAACATGAAACGGCAGGCAATACAAGAAAGCCTCTATCACACGAAGGTCTCTAAACAAGGATCATTATGAAGATCTATTAATAATACTATACATCATTGTTGTTGACATTTTGTACATTCAAAGTTGTGCTTGAACCAATTCAAGATATCTTCCTCTCTTTTGAATTAATTCATCGTGTGATCCACTTTCCATAATTGCACCATCTTCTACAACGTGAATAATGTCAGCATTACGAATTGTTGATAATCTATGTGCAACCGTTAATGTCGTTCTACCTTTTGCTGCGTTATCCAACGCTTTTTGAACACTAACTTCGGCTTGTGCATCCAAAGCAGATGTTGCTTCATCCAATAATAATATTTTGGGCTTTTTGATCAATGCTCGGGCGATGCAAATCCTTTGTCTTTGTCCACCGCTCAATTGAGTTCCTTTTGATCCAATTTCGGTCTGATAACCATCAGGTAAACCGTGAATAAAATCAGAAATGCAAGCATCTTCACAAACTTGTTCAATTTCTTCATCGGTCACCGTTTGACCTTCAACCGCTCCCAACAAAAGGTTGAATTTAATCGTTCCTTCATAAAGGCATGCATCTTGTGAAACATAACTCATCCCTTTTCGGACTTCATCCAAAGCCAATTGCCGAATGTCCAAATCACCTATATGAATCGTTCCTAAATAAGGATCATAAAACCGTTGTACCATTTGCAAGATCGTACTCTTCCCGCTTCCACTTGTTCCGCAAAATGCTTGATGTTTCTTGGCATAAATTGTCAGGTTCAAATTACGAATGGCTGGATGATTAGGTCTACGAGGATAACGTAATTCAACGTCATGAAAAATAATATTCTTTTCTGTCCAATTCAAATGTGCCAAAGATTCTTTCTTTGCACCATCTTCATCATTTGACATGATAGCCGGCAAACTTGCAATCTGCGGCTTTCTTTCAAACCATCCGGACATGGATTTAAAAGCCGCAGCCGCACGACCGAAATCGCCTGTAAATTGGAAAATTCGACCTGCAGCAAATACTGAAATAATCGCAGCTTCAAAAATTGCGTAAATACCGGTAATCGAAATTTGATCTTTTGAACGTAGAATGCCGCCATAATAGAAGATCAAAGCTGAAGTCGCAAAAACGGCTGCTTGGGAGATTGCAAATCCTCCCCCTCCAAGAACGAGGTAAAGACTTTGTTTGGGAGTTGTCGAACGTGTTTTTTCATCGAATAATCGAAGCGTTTCTCGCTCACGTCCCAGAGCTGAAACTTCTTTCATTGCATCCACATTCTCGGATATGAATGAAGCTCCTTGTGCGGCAGGTTCCAATAAAGTGGACTCATACTTTTCCAACATGGCGATATTGACGTAACCACTAAAGAAGAGCACAACCACCGGAGATAATGTCACCAATGCAGCTTTCCAGCTTAGAACAAATGCCAAAATTACGGAACCCAACAAATTCGCCAAAGAGATCAAAACTTGCGAAGTGACTAAACCAGTAGCCGCTGAGACATTGCTCGGATATGTTGAAACGGAAGCTGCCAATGCACCACTTGAAGCTTCTGCTCGATCAAAATAGCCAATCTCTTGCTTCAGAAGAGCGTCTAATGATCTCGTCTTGAGATATCTGCTCATCTTTTCCGAGCCGGATTCCAATAAAAATGATTGAAACGTGATAATGATCAAAGCTGCAACCGCACAACACAAGAATACCAAAGACCACAATTCCGATTGACTCTTGATACGCTCTGGTGTGGGTTCATTTAGAGCATTTACCGCTTTTCCGGTAATCCAGCCAACGACGGGGAAGATGGCGCCGGCAAGCAGAGCCCCAATAGTTCCAAACACAAATTCAAATCGAAACATAGCAAGAACTTTGAAGAAATTGCGCCAAGCTCGTCGATCCGTAACTTGGGGAGCCTCCTTTCCTGCTGTGATGGTACCGTCTGATGATACCTTTTCTTGTTCAGATTCGGTTTCGGAGTTATTGCCTTTCTGATCGTGCGCTGATCGAAAGACGTCTTTGTGCATCTCCTTTGTCGAATTTGGAGCTTCGGCACTGTGCTCCAATTGATTCAATGTTAAATTACGTCCTGAAACGGACCAATATGTATGATCGGATGTCTTTCGTGAAAGACGTCTGCCAAGTTTATTATTATCCATCTCATTTGGTCGTTGACTTTCGTCCGTATGCAAAGGATAAATCGTACTCGGCGCAAACTTTGCCGTTGATTGATCCGAAAGAACTTCAAGTCCAGCTTCGGAATCTGTACGATCAGAAGTAGGTGATGGATTTCTTCTAGAAGACTCCTTTTCCCCGTGATCTTTTGTGTCAATTCGATTAGAATCTTCATTTTCAGTTTGAAGAATTGCCCTTTGTTGCATAACCATTTCCTTGTACGTTTGATCTTCACTTCTTTTTCGTTGCATTAATTCTGAATGTTTTCCCTCATCGACAACTCGACCGTTTCGCATAACGACAATCTTATCGGCCTTTTCCACCGTACTCAATCTATGAGCGATCAAGATTGTAGTCATTCCACGCTCTGAATGTTCTTCCTCTAACATCAATCGAATCTTTTCTTCTGTGTTTGTATCAATTGCTGAAGTGCCTTCATCGATAACCAATACGTTTGGTTCACGTACCAATGCTCTGGCTAGACTCAATCTTTGTCTTTGCCCTCCCGATAGAAGTCCAGTCTTGCCTCCCGCAATTGGAGTATCCATTCCTTCGGGTAAACGTTCGACAAAGTTCCATGCTTGTGCTTTTTGTAAAGCTAATTGGACTTTCTCACGTATCAAGTTCGTACGAATTCGAACGTCTTCTGGTGCATCCTCTTTTCCATCAATGTCAGGACGGTAAGCCCATTGTGTCCCACTCAGACCTGCCGCAACGTTCTCAAATACAGAAGCAGTAAAGATTTGAGGGTTTTGTCGAACGATTGCAACTTGACTTCGCAGCCAACGTAAATTAAGTTCACGTACATCCGTTCCAGAATACAAAACTTGGCCTCCTCCTTCAACGGGTAGACGTTGTGCCCCTTGCTTTTCTTCATCGCCGCAATCTTCCTCACCGCTATTTGTATTACCGTCTGCTTGTGATGATCCTTTTTCCAAATCTTTAGTGGATTCTGTTTCAATCTTCTTCTTCTTCTTCTTCCTCTCTGCCTTTTTCTCTGATCTTTCCACCTTTTCCTTTTCCATTTCATCGCTGGGTAGAGGAACGTTTGCTGTCTCAGGATCATATTCACGTAAAAGGAGAGAAGTAATTGTACTCTTTCCCGATCCACTGGGACCCACCAAAGCGGTAACGTGACCGGAGGTAAGGGTAAGATTGACATGTTTCAGACTAGGAACTGTTGGACGGCTGGGATATGCCAAAGTGACATCGCGTAAGATGAATTCTGGTTTGATATTCGTCGTTGGAATTCGGATGCCGTCTTTCTTTCGCACATCGATCCTTGGTTGTCGTTCAATCGCTGATCGCAGTAGTCTGATCGCTGACATTGCCTCCAAAATGGATGCCAAATGAGGAACGGCCAAAGAGAATGCGAACAAAGAGTTGATTAGATTCCAGAATGCGGTAAGACCGTTACCTAAGTCAACTTGATTACGAATGAGTAAATGACCGATCCACCAAAATGAGGCACTGTACGTCAAGAAAAGCATAAAATATACCAGTCCAGCTTCCGCCCCTCGTATTAAAGCTTTTTGTTTACTATATTTTTGAACCTTACCCAATAAATCCTGATCGTATTTGTTCAAAAGAGCTTTTGCCATTCCGAATGATTGAACGATTCTCATCGAGCCAATAACTTCTTCCAAAAAAGTGCTTGCTCTACCCTCTAATCGTAATGCCGGTCCACCAACAAATTCTGATGCGTAACCCAATAATCCAAAAATTGCAAATATGATCGGGACAACGGTAAAAAGAAAGCCTGTCACTCGAGCGGCAACACTGAAACCAATAATCAGAGAGCAGAACAAGATCGTTGTAGTGAAAAGCGTCATGCCCAATTTTTCACCCAAAGAGGTTCTTATCGCATTAACCTCTTTTCCGGCATGCGTTGCAACTTCACCTGCTCCATGTTCATCAAAATAAGAAGCATCTTGTGAAAGAACGGCTGCGATATATGTATGACGTAGATTGGAAGACAACTGACTTGCCGCCATGGTGAAGCAAATTTGAAAAAGCCAGACGAATATTAAACATCCAATTGCTGCACACAAAAGGATGATTCCAGCGAAATCACTTGCATCTCTTATCTGTTTTGGATCGGCATCGTATGCGATCCTATTTGACCAATACAAACCGTAGATCAAATCCAAGACTGGAAAACTTGAAAACCCTCCGAGAATAGCAAAAAGACCACCAAAGCCGTACAAGGTGTATGGATGTCGGATAAATGCTCTTGGTTGTTTGATTATGTTGGGTATAGGAGGAGCAAAAGTGAGAAAATAAAAGAATGTCGATGAATTGGATGTATGCTGGGTCAAGGTTTCCCGATCTTCATCTTCAAGTCTGCTTGCACATGATAAGATCACTTGTGCTGGCTGGGAGCCGTGTAATGTTGGCGGATCAATCCCTGCGTTGGGGTAACGATCTATAACCGACATTCTCTTCACACTCGGCTTCAGCAGGCTCTAAAGAATTCGTGTCTTTCAGATATCCCGAACCGCCACTTGAGAAGATGATGATGATGATGGAATGGTGTTTAACGAGAAAGCAATGTTCTTGTTCATATTATATATTGAATTATTCATCAAAATCAAGACAGTAGGAGAAGTACAGTTTCTTCTCATCTCAGCATTATGCATTTAAGCAGTGTCCTGATGATGGTCAACAGATTTTCGTTTCAAACTCCACGAGAGTATGCTGAGTCAAACTTAGTTTTATTGCATATGACCAGTCTGCCTTGCTTTTCTTGGACCCATACGCGTTACGCAAGCGTTTCGATTACACGCGAAACGCGTCTGTCTTGAACTGATTATCTAATCTTCCTTTCCTTTCCTGAATCCCATCATTCAAAAACCATGATGATCCTTGGCACTTCTTTGAATGTTTTTTTTTTTGGTCGTCACTTTTTATAATAAGTGTTACTTTCACCTTTAGCATGTTGTTACTGAACAGAACACTGTTCTTTGGTGCTGCGCTTCCTATATCATATGTATTGCCAATACTTCGTACAGTGCTAAAGTGCCTCGATTTGATAAGCAACCGAGTAGAGAAAGGGCGTACGTATATCTGTGTTCGTCATTTGCCAGCTTGACCATCTAACAACCGAAACTGGAAAAGATTGAAACGATTGCAACGATTGAAACGGCATACAATGGCCAGATTGAATACGATCAAAGCTTAGAAATGCTCATAGAAGTCAATGATGACCATGGCGCGGTCGCGTTCATTGCAGCAACAACGCGTTTCATTAGACACAGGCTAGGCTGCTGGCAAGAGTAGGGCTATATCGAACTGCATTCATGTCTGTCAGTAGTACTTGGTGCCGTGAAGAAGAACCTGTCCGAAGCAGGTATATCATTTTCACCATTCATGAATCACGACTGATGACTTGAACGTCGATTGATCTATTTGATCGCCCTATCGATTGAAACTTGAAATACATAGCACTCGTTATTTCTCCCATTGGAAGGGTAAGAATGATTATTTAGTATCACTCGATACGCATACATTGAATGAAATCATTTGGTGATACATGTCATTTCGAAGATCATACGACCTGTCAGACAAGTCACCATCCGATGGTTACAGCACAACATCTACTTTGATTCCTTGACAGCATGATAGGCAGGTTTCCAGGGACAAGATGTCTGCACTGCACCAACTTTTGTTTGCATAAATACATGCATTCATGTACTTCCCAAACTGACCCTGCTACCACCATCATCCACTTTATCATCATATCCTCCTTCGGGGTATACTGCCAGCAAGTCTTCAACAATAAGCATTATCATGTTTCGATGGAGAGTAAATAAAGATGAGTACTAAGTCCAAACCGAATTCTAACGGGAGTCTTTCCCTGATCAAGCAAAGAAAACATCCTCTTTCGCTTTGTTGTGGACGCGCATCAATCTGTAAGAGGATGTCTTTCTTCTGGTACAAGTCTTCTCTCAGCTTGCCTGTGGACGCACGGCAAACTGTAGGAGGACGTTCTTCCGTTCTGTTCATGGACGCATGGTAATTCGGAAGAAGACCCCTTGCTTCTTGTCCAATTTTACTAGTTCTGAAGATCACATACTGACACTGATTTTACTCCGTTCTCTTCTTCTCTCCTCCAGCATCTCGCTCACAAGCTTCTCGTTTATTATCACGTCTCGATGTCGCATAGGAAAGGCTAGGATCGTATCAAGACCAAGTCACGATGTCGTATAGGAAAGGTCAGGATCGTATCAAGACCAAGTCATGATGTCGCATAGGAAAGGCAAGGATCGTATCACTTTCTCATTCATGACTTTGTCGTTATGCTC